CTTATATGAAATAAATTGAATAACATTTACGATTAAAAAGAATAACAATAAAAAACAGGTACATAAAAAAGTTATCTAAAGAAAACAAATAGCAGCGAATAAAATAGAAAAAAACCCAAATATGTTGAAAATTACTCTTTCATGGCCCCATCGGCGACTGAGGACGCGATGATATGTGACCGCTTTATTCATTAGAATCTGTTCTCCTCACCGCAGCCAATACATTAATAGAATTTATGCGAATTCAGATTTTCCGCATGACTACGTTTTCACCGTCTGGGAAACGGAGGCCATGTCTATTCATATAATCCTTCTCTAACCGAGCATGCCTTTATTTGATCTCCTCCGTTATACTTCGAGAGCTAATTAGTAGATTGTTGACAAATATAATTAGATTCCGGAACGGCAAATAAAGCAGAATGTTCAACATTACCATTGATTGAAAATACTGAAGTGCTTTTATGGGTAATTTACCATGCCACAACTTTCACTCTATGGCCTTAATGTTTCCGATTTGTCATGCTTGTCATTAGTATTGAATTGAAACAGGGACATGTATTTTAGTTTATAAAATAGCTGTATCGGACTAATATAAGATCACATTCATCATCATCATCATTACCAAATTCTTCCACCTAATCTCAGTCGTTTTCTCAAAGATGAGCAGGGCAACTGTGTTGCATAAGATATATTTTGTATTAGAAATCATCATACATATCATACACATCATACACATTAAACACATTATACACATTAAACACATGTATGATCATGTAGATTGTATTTCATATCGTTAGGAAATATGTTAGAGTGCTTGTGTAAATCCGTGTCAAAACAAGTTAATTATTTAATGAAAAATACATACTATGTATATGCTGACATCTATGTATATGAGCGGGGCATGTACTATTTTTAAACGGATATTAACAATATTTAATGATCTTTCATACATGTTAGCGTTACATGTTGAAGAATATTTATAAACAGGTTTTGCCTCACCCAAATATAACAAAATGGGTCGAGGGAGTAGTTCTAACAGTGTAGACAAATGAGACTGTCAGACACCCAGAAAAACACAGAAAACTTCTTTTACGTAAAGACAACAAAGACATGTAATAAGATGTAACTACTGTTATTAGTATAATTTTTTATGTAATTGAAGTGTTCTGTGTTTTCTGTGTCTCGGTACAGAAGCGGATTGTTCCGAAAATTTGACAACCTCATATTGTCTACACTGTTGGAATTACCTCCTTGCCCCATATACCGATTGTAATTAATTTGTATCCTACAAACATACATTTGCAAGGATCCAGTATAACATGGAATTTACCGTTGATATAACTTCTTTGACAACCAATAATATACATGGGTATATATATATATATTTCTTAAGAACATAAGCCGAAAATTGTATCATGTGTGTGTAAGATGACAGGTCGGGATATGTAAAGGCCAGCAACTGTCCTCGCGCACATAATGTACAGTTTGAGGCTAATCTCTAGATTAAAAAATACTTCCATTGTTTCAATACAGAACACCTTTAGTTTTGATATTAACCAATACACTGACATGTCTAGGCACATAATTGTTTAATCAACACTTGTTCGTTTTACTTCTGAAACTATCAGAGTAGATTTTATCTGTCAATCACGTGGACTACGAACTAAAGACGTACTCATTTAAAAGTTTAGTGTGTTGATGCAGAAAGTCAAAAAGAGTAATGCATGCCAAACATACATAAAATAACCAAAAGTAAAAGGAAAACGCAAGTATCTTTCAGCGACATGATTGGGGATCGCATTATTGAAAAAAAATTCTATCGTTCCTTCTGATAGTCAAGCATTTTACAATCGGAAAGTGATACCGAGTGTATTTATTGACTGATGTTTTATATTTGATGGAGCAGGAACATTTTAAAACGACTGTTAAAAGTCAAGTCACGGATTATGTGATTGTGAACCAAAGGAAAAGATAAGTGTTCTTGAAAAGGTTAATTTCTATATGAAAAGGATGAAAAATACATCTTCTATATACCAGAGATTCAAAATTAATATTACGTAATAAAGACATAATAGAGGTATTAGGTGTAGACGTCAAATATATTACCAGTATCTTTCTCTTTACTTCTTGTCCAATACAAGACATCCACAGAAAATATATTGAAAACGTATTTATGTAGAAATGCGGGAAAAACTACGGCAAGACAAAACATTCGAATTTAGAAAAAAGAAGCATTTGTTTCATTAACAGGTTATAGTTACAGTAAATGTACCAGTACTCCCAACAAGTATTCAATACTTCAGTTTTTGGTTTGATGAAAATTTGGGCGTGAAACATTCAGTTTGTAAACTTGTAAATCCGCTAGAAAAGTATTGTTTGTAAAGTACTTTAATGCTAAAGAAATGTTTTATATTACAGATATGTTTTTGTAAATTTCATGTGCAATTCTTTTAATTGAATGTTGTTATTTCGTTTAACCTGCAACGTGTTTAAACTGTGGAATTATGCAATATGAACAAGTAAAAGGAGTGTTTACGATTTAGCACAAAACCTGTTTTGAGTGATCTAAGGAAAGTCATTAAGCAATAACTGAGTGATGAAATGGATTGGAATTCCTGAAATGTCGGCCAGATAATAAAAACTGTTCAATTCCTTATTTATTTAAATAATAGACTCTTAAGACAATAGACCTGCGTTTGGTCATGTAGACTCATGAAATCATGGGACTCCGCAATTGCAACTTGGATTGAAGAAATCAAGGAAAAAGAGTAATAAAATATTGTTAAATCTAATCAAACAAAAGAATATAGAACTAAAATTGTAATTGCGAGCAATAGCGGAAGTCACCCTCCCCTGCTAAGTACGCAGCAATTTAGTTTTTTACAAAACGAACACCGCAGTTGTGTTCGTATTGCCAGACTACACCTACATACCTTTCTTCAAAATTGGACGATACAATCAGAAGCCTGCATTTGGCCGCCATTTTGAATACAAAGTCAATTGTTTTTTTTTCTCGAAAACGAGCGCTGTGACGTTATCATCCATTTCATCGAGTTTCATTATGTTCCATGAAATAGAACGAATGTTATTACTGGATATGATTTTGGTCAATCAGAGGCAGCGTCGGTTATCTTGGTTGGTTGACCCGAAAAAAAGAAAAAAAGTATGATAAGAATCCTATTAGGAGTTCCTGAGATTAATCGCGGAAACTTTTACGGCGGAATAATAATAATAATAATAAGTAAGAAACGGAACAATAACAATAAGTCTCCCCGACTTCGTTCGGGGTGATTAAATGAAAGCTGTACATGAAAATTAAACAAAGGGCTGAACTGAGAGGAATGCCATCTATCGATCTAGGAGGATAAATTATATTATCAACGGCAATAAGGTTAGAACCTTTTGGATGCTAATAAATAGCGTATTTGTTTGTCGAAAGCAGTACTACAGATATTCAAACGTTGAGAGTTATTTAGCATTAGACGTGGTTCTCTCTCTCCGCGGTAGCCAAGTGGTTAAGGCGTCTGACATTCTGGTACCACTAGTCCTCCAACACTGGGTCGAGGGTTCGAGGCCGACGTGCATTGGGCAGCCCCCATGTACTGGGCGTTGGTCGGTGGTTTTTCTCCGGGATCTCCGGTTTTCCTCCGACACCAAAACCTGGCACGTTCTTATGACCTTGGCTGTTAATAACACGTAATACACGAACAAACCAAACCAAATCTCCCTCATTGCCATTGAACGAGTAGATCATCAAAAACAGTGGTTCATATACAACATCGGATTTACAAAAACGTGTAGTGTAGTGTAAAATGTATTCAGGAAGAACACATTTCTGTTACATAAAATCTAACACTGTTTTAAATTAAGATGATGCAAGTATTTTTCATTAAAAATGAACTACTCAGAGATGTAAAGGGTTTTATTTGATCAATATTAACAGGAAGAGCATTTTTCTTTCTATATAAGTTCTGTAACGTGTTAAAAGTCTGATTCTATGACGAGTCTGATAAGCCAGTGTTAGGGTGGACATAACGCATTGTTTTAATTTTGATTGTACATGTATGTACGTACGCTTGGCACATTAATGAAATAATGAACTTGAAAATAAACGTATTGACAGCCGAAGGAATAGTTTATAAAATCCTCATTTATAAGAACAATGAATAACATAACATGTTTTAAACAAGTGCTTAGTATTTTTCTGTTTTTTTCTTTTCTGTTGTACATTGTATAACATATCACAAAACATGTTGTGTTATATTATAATCATACATGTTGAGAAATGTTGAGACATTTCCATTTTTGAAAATTAAAAAAAAAGAAAAATGACCCCAATTTGCAATTCTCATTTGCTTGACAATATACAACATGAAATAAAACTATTCGGTTGATGTACATGCATTATCATAAAATATTTGATATAGTTTAAAAACATTTTAAACCGATGGAAATTAAAAAATACAAATAAGCATAATATCTTGCAGACTAGTTAATGCAGACTAGTTAATACACATACCTGACATATTTACCAGCTACCGGCTTAATCAAATAAAGATTTCAACACTCTCTTCAAATATTTATCCACTGATTTTCTTTTGTGTCAAGTATTCGTTAATTGGCGTAAGAAGATAATGTTATGTTTTAACACAAAACATAAATATTTCTCTGGAAAATACATAAAAACATATTTTAGAAATACGTTATATCATAAATAATAATAATACAAAAATGTATTGAACTTTTTTTTCACATTTTCGGTTCATTTTCAGTCCATCAGACACCTTTATTTATTTATGTTTTCGCATACTGCGTATTTAAACTATTTTTAAAGTGTATATGCGAATGCACATTAGTAAAATGTTAGCCTTGTTTTATATTTCTAATAGTGGTGTGTTCTTCCCCAGACGAACATCACTACATTGTTTTGTGTTCTACATTATTCTAATGTAGACTGATTTTAAACATACAATGCGTAACATGATTGCCTCTCTTTGCAGCTCAACAGCAGTCTAGTCTTCTTGGTAAGACGAGGCGGCCACGGACGGCCTTCACCAGTCAACAATTGCTGGAGCTAGAGCGACAATTTAAGATGAACAAATACCTTTCACGACCCAAACGGTTCGAAGTGGCGACATCGCTCATGCTCACGGAGACCCAGGTAGGCTAACATTAGCAACACAAACTTGTTAAATAATAACGATAAAAACATGACAGGAACAAATCAGACTATTGTTTTGCTCATAAACGTTTTGTATACAGTTAGAAAATTTGACAAAATTATGTTTAATAGTGTTACATGGTCACACATGCTATGGCTATATATATGAATTTCAATTTTAAAGTGGTGAATAATAACAGTTCCTTCCTTCTTATAGATAAACTACTACTTTGTACTAGGAAAATCTCTTCGTACATAAGAAATATCATTCGTTTGTGAAATACCGATAACAGTATCAAATTTAACAGAATGTCTCACTATTAAAAACGCTGCGTTAATCTTTAGTTTTGTAAACAAATTTGTTTTCACAAACCCCATTTTCTCAAAATTCTCAATAAATGGGAGAATCAATTATTTTGTTGCTCATAGTCAGACAGGAAGCGTGGTGTATAATGGTACTCTATCAGAAGCTTCCCGAATAAAGAGGGTACACCCAGCATATTTACTCACTCCTCCCCTACTCGCCTCATTCCTCTCCGCGTCGTTTAAAACCTATTTGTTTGCCGTTCTATAGCCTCTATATGTCAGAGTTAGGCATGGAATTTCGCTCATTAGCAAATGTTCAATTCTTAATCACCTTTAAGTTATGATAAAATAGTCCAAACAGGCAGGAAAACGTGGCTAATCTTCCTTTCCTTTCAAATCCTTTATCTTGCATATTTTCCTCGTGTTGACTCTTTATCAAATGAAAACACAAAACTGCAATTGAACATGGTCGTGTCTAAACGCCCCGGGCGATTAATATCGGAGCGCTAATTCCGGACTGCAAGGTAACTAATCGGAAGGTACTATACGATATTTGTGAATTCACCAAGCTCCATTTAAGAAGGGATTAGCATTCGGGGTTAAAATTTACACCTTACCTGAAAACAAGGATACACTTCTTAATACCCCAACAACACCTGTATATTATCAATGCATATCCAGCTGTCTCATAGACGTACTTATCTCTGGTAGGCCGGGCAACCGTCTTGATTAATGAGAGAAATTTCACCCACGGAGAAATAAGAAAGGCATTTTCTGCGGGATGGCGATATGGCCGTGTTGACCAGTGGACAACTGATGGCGGTAGACAATTAGGGTTTCATTTTGTGGCTTTTCACATCGTCGTTATTTTCGTAATAAACGAGTTAAATGTACTTTTGAATGTATGGTAATGTTCTGCAAAGTCGTTATTTCTGATTAATCCATGTTTCAATCGGTGATATGTCCTTGCAGGGATTGCACCTCCGTCTAGGATTCACACCTTGTCAAAACACAAATGTTATCAGATTTAAGAGTATATGACTCACAACTCCAGACAAACACATCGACATATCCAAATAAGTGTTCAGTTTGTCGGAGAATTTCTTTTGGAAACAAATAGCCACTTGAAAGTAAACCTTTTCCCTGGTTAGAACTACAATCAATTGACTTTATGACGCCCTGTCCTCCGGCATGCCTCGACAAGCAGATGTATATTGTCGATGCATTTATTTTCACATATAACCCCGTGCTATTTAATGAGTACGACCAAACGATATTGGAGTAGTAATTGACGTAAATGTGTGGTAGGATGATATTTCCATATTTCATGTGTGAGGTCAAAATGGCAGTAAATAAATAACCTGTCGGACGTATCAATTGATTTTGCTACAGTAACATACAAACAAAAATTATCAACGAAATTTTATATCATAAACAATAATATAACTTGCCAAAAACCTCTTTAAAGCTCCTGTATAATCGTTTCTACTCTATTTTTTGTTGTTTTAAGGTGAAGATCTGGTTTCAAAACCGAAGAATGAAATGGAAACGAAGTAAGAAACCTTCCTCAGAGCCGTCACAGAAGAGAATGTCGGAAGGAGGTAAAAGGAATAGCCTCTACGTCACCCAAAAAGGCGAAAAGGCACAGTCTGACGATAAAATAGATGTATTTGATATCGACCCAGAATCTGAGGATGTAGAAATCGATGATGATGATGATGATGAAGATGACGTAGATTGTGAGTCACGTGATGAGGATGTAAATGACATCTCCGTACCGCACCCTGGTCATGCGCAATCTGACATTCGCGGAGGTAGCTTGTCAGATTCAAATTTTCAGTTGAAACAGTTTGGATTATTACAAGCTGGTATATAGATTTTATGAGAGTAAGGAAAGTATGACATAGACCACCAAACGGCAGCTCTGTCGATCGAAAAGATGAACTTGAACCACAAATATTCGAAGTTGTAGATTATGTATTAAATGACCTTTGATTTACATATCTGTGACACTTTTTGAAAGTGAAGAATTTGAGGTTCATCAACGTGTTCAGATACAAGTTATAAAGGGCAGCATTCGGATCGGTATGGAACCGGATATTGCGTATTGAAATGACGTAGACATAAACCTCCATTGTACCAGCCCAGTTTGTAATATCAACAGACATTGACCCATATTTATATATGTGGTGTGCTAGTGCTATCTTGTAAGCCCATTGTGACGTAGTGTCACATGACAGACAGACTGCTAAATATCTGCCAAAGACTTGTCGAGTCGAACTGCAATCAATCTAGTATTATTTATTGACTTGTACATATGCATGGTTTATCTCGATGATAACGATAATTTGATGACGATGATGATCATATAAACATGATTTAATATCAAAATTGTTTGTACTTTTTTATCTGAAAAGACGAGGAGAAACATAATTATTAATTTATAATTACACCCCCTCTCAAACTCAAATTTTAATAATCAAAATAAATGAAATGAAATATGTTAACCAAATTCGTTACGTGGAATTGGACGGGACAGAACTCGAATCGAGCGTCCAGATGTTTACTTATTTAAGTCAACGCTGCAGAGCCTAAGCAACGCTAAGTTTAGCACAACTCAAAGTGCAACACAACGGTAAGCGTAACACAAAGTATAACACAACACTAAGTGTAACACAAAGTATAACACAACACTAAGTGTAACACAAAGTGCACACAACGGTAAGCGTAACACAAAGTGCAACACAACACTAAGTGTAACACAAAGTATAATACAACACTAACTGTAACACAAAGTAAAACACAACTCAAAGTGCTACACAACGGTAAGCGTAACACAAAGTGCAAAGCAACACTAAGTGTAACACAAAGTATAATACAACACTAAGTGTAACACAAAGTATAACACAACACTAACTGTAACACAAAGTAAAACACAACTCAAAGTGCTACACAACGGTAAGCGTAACACAAAGTATAACACAACACTAAGTGTAACACAAAGTCTAACACAACACTAAGTATAACACAACACTAAGTGTAACACAACACTAAGTGTAACACAACACTAAGTCTAACATAACACTAAGTGTAACACAACACTAAGTCTAACACAACACTAAGTCTAACACAACACTAAGTGTAACACAGCTCTTCGTGTAAACAACACCAAGTGTGACACAATTATTCAGTGTTTACAGTCACCCGATGACCAGATATCATAACATTGTATGATCAACGAGGCGAAAATCGCAAAATGCTGTATTTGATACAATGATTTATATTCACAATCCTGAAATGGAAATCACAGTCGGTAATGATATTCCCTTTTGATATCATGCTTTAAACGTCGTAGAGATTTATGTGGATTGATAGTTCCCATTATACAGAGGCGGATGCGGCCCAATGGATTTACATTATGCAGAGATGGAGCAATGGATTTACATTATGCAGAGATAGAGCAATGGATTTACATTATGCAGAGATAGAGCAATGGATTTACATCATGCAGAGATAGAGCAATGGATTTACATTATGCAGAGATGGAGCAATGGATTTACATCATGCAGAGATTGAGCAATGGATTTACATCATGCAGAGATAGAGCAATGGATTAACATCATGCAGAGATGAAGCAATGGATTTACATTATGCAGATATGGAGCAATGGATTTACATCATGCAGAGATAGAGCAATGGATTTACATCATGCAGAGATGGATCAATGGATTCACATTATGCAGAGATGGAGCAATGGATTTACATCATGCAGAGCTAGAGCAATGGATTTACATCATGCAGAGATAGAGCAATAGATTTACATTATGCAGAGATGGAGAAATGGATTCACATTATGCAGAGATAGAACAATGGATTTAAATTATGCAGAGATGGAGCAATGGATTTACATTATGCAGAGATAGAGCAATGGATTTTCATTATGCAGAGATAGAGCAATGGATTTACATTATGCAGAGATGGAGCAATGGATTTACATTATGCAGAGATAGCGCAATGGATTTACATCATGCAGAGATGGATCAATGGATTTTTATTATGCAGAGATGGAGCAATGGATTTACATTATGCAGAGATAGAGCAATGAATTTACATCATGAAGAAATGTAGCAAAGGATCTGCATTATGAAGAGATAGGTGCAGATCAATGAACTTCCATTGTTCAGAGATTGATGCGGACCAATGACGTTACATTATAGAGAGATGGGTTCGGATCAGTGAATACCAATGATTTTACCTTGTACAGAGATGAATGCGGACAAATTACTTTATTTTGTACAAAGGTGAATGCGGACGAATGACTTTACATTATATAGAGATGGATGCGTACCAATTATACAAATATGGATATATATCAATGACTTCCCATTGTTAAGAGAAGGATGAAGATCAATTAATTCATATTATACAGAGTTAGTGATGTGGTCCTATTGAAGACTAGAGGCTGGTTGATGTAGTCCTATTGTAGACTAGAGGCCGGTTGATGTGGTCCTATTGAAGATTAGAGGCCGGTTGATGTGGTCCTATTGAAGACTAGAGGCCGGTTCATGCAGTCCTATTGTAGACTAGAAACCGGTTGATGTGGTCTTATTACAGACTAGAGGCCGGTTGATGCGGTCCTATTGTAGACTAGAAACCGGTTGTTGTGATCCTATTGTAGACTAGAGGCCGGTTGATGTGGTCTTATGGCAGACTAGAGGCCGGGAAATGCAGTGCTATTGTAGACTAGAGGCCGGTTGATGTGGTCCTATTGAAGATTAGAGGCCGTTGATGAGGTCCTATTAAAGACTAGAGGCCGGTTCATGCAGTCCTATTGTAGACTAGAAACCGGTTGATGCGATCCTATTGTAGACTAGAAACCGGTTGATGTGGTCCTATTGTAGACTAGAGGCCGGTTGTTTTGATCCTATTGTAGACTAGAGGCCGGTTGATGTGGTCTTATGGCAGACTAGAGGCCGGTTGATGTGGTCCTATTGTAGACTAGAGGCCGGTTGTTAATGTGATCCTATTGTAGTCCAGAGGTCGGTTGATGCGGTCCTATTGTAGACTATAGACCGGTTGATGTGGATCTATTGTAGCCTAGAGGCCGGTTGATGTGATCCTATTGTAGACTATAGGACGGTTAACGCGATCCTATTGTAGATTATTGGCTGGTTGATGTGGTCCTATTGTAGACTAGATGCCGGTTGATGCAGTCCTATTGTAGCCTAGAGGCCGGTTGATGTGGACCTATTGTAGCCTAGAGGCCGGTTGATGTGGACCTATTGTAGCCTAGAAGCCGGTTGATATGGACCTATTGTAGCCTAGAGGCCGGTTGATGTGGACCTATTGTAGCCTAGAGGCCGGTTGATGCGGTCCTATTGTAGACTAGAGGCCGGTTGATGTGGACCTATTGTAGACCAGAGGCCGGTTGATGCATTCCTATTGTAGATTAATGGCTTGTTGATGTGGTCCTATTGTAGACTAGTGGCCGGTTGATGTGGAACTATTGTAGCCTAGAGGCCGGTTGATGCGGTCCTATTGTAGACTAGAGGCCGGTTGATGTGGTCCTATTGTAGACTAGTGGCCGGTTGATGTGGTCCTATTGTAGACCAGAGACCGGTTGATGCGGTCCTATTGTAGATTAGAGGCCGGTTGATTCGGTCCTATTGTAGTCCAGAGGCGGATTGATGTGGTCCTTTGTTTTAGTCCAGAATCGGGTTTGTGCTACTTGATGATGAAACTTATTTTGATGTACATGTATACATGTGCCTATTGGAACATGTTTAGTTATTGTGTTTTTATCTTTTAGTACGGTTATCTAATTATTGACACACTGAAGAGAAATATAGTAACAGATTTTCACGTCAACCCCATCCAACCCTGCAACGCAAGTGCCCGACTACAGGACGGCAGACGGCGCTGTGTGGGGGTGCGCGTGCGTCTTACATCCTAGACTACAGCGCACATTGTCTCCTATAATTCCTCTTTGCAACGCCTCGCCTTATTTCTTTCCAGTCTGTTATCAATTTTTCTCGATTAAAACATACAAATGACGGAGATTAATTTTCGTATAATTGATTGCAGCTCTACGTTCGTGTCGAAATTTAGTTTAAGTGTTTACATAAGGAACTCTAGGCACCACACTGAAACATACTTCCGTAATCTTGTAGTCAGTGATTCAAGTTAGACGTCGATAAAAAGAAAATTTGCACCATTTACTTTAATACCAAGAGCAATAATTCGACCATTTTGTCGTCATTTGAAGATAAAACTCCAATGAATTTCAGACCCGACGTCAAAGTAGTGCACACCCATGTTGTAATCGGTTTTTAAAGTAGAATTAATTAGCGTTTAATTGTACTTGTACTGATGTGTGAGTGAGCTACAAGTTTTGTATTACGTGTTAGACGTACACTCCAATACAAACAGTCACGTTAGCCAATTCCGGGACGATCCCAGATATCGTCAAGTCTGTGCCTTGAGACACTAAAATGTTATCTCATCAATGTTAAGTCATCTTAATGCTTAATTTTATACATTAGAAACAAAGTTGGTTAATGCAAAATGTGCACAGTTTTGATTGGTCAAAAATGGATCAAGTCCCTCTCGGACACGTTCGGTATTTTTCGGAGAAAACCCCTCAGGTGTATGGGTAGTCAATCTATTTTCCGTTTCAAGCTGATGTAGATAGTCTTGTTTAATGAGTCCTAGATACATCAATCGGTGGTCAAGTATTTGGTCGTACGCTGTTAGAAGATACTTGGTAGTTACATGTAGTAAAACTACATGAAACGTCACTCAGTTGTAATAACTGAACCCCTCAAAAAATTACCGCAAAAGCACTTCCGACCAAGTGTTTATCAGAAACTTATGTCTAATGTCGACAAATCCGGGTCAAGGGTCAAAAGTTCAAGCATCATACTTTAGTGTTATATACAAGTGGTTATTATAAAAGAAATATTCTAAACTTTATGTCGATGAGCTTATATCCGGAATCACAGTGATATGTATCGGTACTTTTATTTTGTCTACAGGTATATAATTTCAAATGATTCATATGATTCCTTGTGACACAGGCGTGCGACCAGTGTTGCACGTGTAATAGGACCAGAGAACACAGCTATACTGGTATGTGAAAATCACTGGCAATACAATATCGATTTCACCTACAATCTACCGATATTAATTCAAACAAATGGGATTTTCTGGATTTCAAATTTGCTGATAAATGTATTTCAAACCGATCAAAAACATCCCTGGCTTACTACGACTCAAACATCGCTCTTACCGATAAAGAAATTTAATCACGCGACTTATGAAAAAGATTTAAAGTGAATTTAAAATATATTAGACCTTATTAAAGACTTATAG